AGCCGGGCGTGGTGGCTCACGCCTTTAATCCCAGCACTCCCAGCACTCGGGAGGCTGAGGCAGGAGGATCACTGTGAGTTCGAGACCAGTCTGGGCTACATAGTGAGTTCCAGGTCAGTCTCAACTACATAGTGAGACCCTGTCTCAAAAAACAAACAAAAAAAACCCCAAAAATATTTTTTTAAACATTTTATATAGTTGTCTAGAATCCTGTTTTTTTTTCTGACTTGTAAAAGTTCAATTTGCTTTAGCAGTTTCTTACCCTTATGGGTTATATCTTGAGTGATTGGGGACTGCTCCTTTTCTAACTCCTTCCTGTTCCCAGAAAAGAGAACTTGTGATTGTAGGGAATGTTTCTTGCCTCCTGTTCCATCCTCCCAAACCCAGAGGGATGTGAGTCCTTTGCAGCTTACACCTTTTAACCCCTTTTTGGCTTGGTTCTACCAAGTGTGATTGTTTTATTTTTTGTGTTGCTGAGGTTCCAGTAAGGTCCTTGTGCGTGCTAGGCAAGCGCTACCACTAAGCTACAACTCCAGCTCAATTCTTTTTTTTTTAACCCTAATTTCTTCCCTTTTTTTCCTCCCTTTCATGAATATGTTTAACTGTTCCTCTAATTTGACAAAATTAGAATGACTTCATTTTTAGAAATTAAATAAGAAATCTTTTTGATGTTTCTGGTTTAAAACAAAAAACAAAACAAAACAAAATTATAATGAAAACATTCCCCAAAGTAAGCTTTTGAAAGAACACAAACATTCTGGTGTGTGAATCATAAGTCTACAAACCTTGCAACCTCAGGGATGGGCTGCCCTGGTCCTCACAGTCCAGAAAAAGAGGGCAATATTGATTCCTCCCACCCTTCTTACTGTCCATCTTTGCCAGCCCAAAGAGGTGTATGAGGTATCTGCAAATTTGGGTTCGCTGTTACACTATACTGTTATTTTATTTTATTTTTGTAACATAGTCTTGACATGTAGTCCAGGTTGGCCTTGAACTCACTATGTAGCCCAGGCTGGCCCCGAACTTGTGGCGAGTTTCCTGCCTCAGCCTTCCGAATGCTGGGATTAAAGGCATGTGCCACCACTAGTGGCTTATACTGTTGTTTTCATCTTTCCAAGTTTTAAGGGCTGTTTCATGAAGAATGCATCTTCCTGCCCCAGTGTCTCTGCTCAGTTTTTTCCCTTAGCCTTAGGAAAGTATAACTGACCATCTTACTGATTTTTTAATGTGGGGGGTCAGAAAATGAAGGGCAAGGCAGATGTTTTTAATTTGAGAGAGATCAGTGACAACAGGTTAACTTTTCCTAAGAATGATTATTGAGGCATTCATTCCTTTCTTATTTCCTGGAACATGTGTCACCTAATGTTAATTTATGTGGTCAAATAAACATAGGCACAAGATAGGTAATGTCCAAGAGTGTGTTCTGTCTGGCTTTCATTGCAAGACATACTGAAACGTGCAGGAGCTTGGTCGTCTTGATTTTGAAACTGAATTCTGCCTTCTGCTGACATTGTGGCCTTGAGCAAGTTTCAGGAACTGTGAGGTTTTAGTTACCTGTATAATGAAGATAAAAATTCAGCTCACATGGCTGTGAGGGTTAGTGTGCTGTTTGTAAATGCCTGACTTGGCGTCTCTGTTTGTTTATGTGAGTGTCATTAAAGGGTCATTTATTTCACTTTGTACTGTGATTATTTTTGTAACAGTTAATTCTTTTTGTACAAAAATATATTGTAGGAAAATATGGAAATCCACAAAAGAACAAAAGCTAAAACTTAAAAATGGCTTGTACTTTCATCTTAGACCTACTCTCTTATTTGTGAGAGCCTTGTGCTTGTTTTTTGAGATATTTTTCTTTTTCTTTTGGCATACAGAAAGTTGAAAACATACTGCAGTAACCATTCACCTTAACCTAGGTTTGCCATTTGTTAACATTTTGCTACATTTGCGTCCTTTCAATCATAAACTTTCTTTTCTTTTCTTTTTTTTTTTTTTCCTTTATTGAGTTTATTGGTACATTTTAGGTATACAGTACAATTGCGTTCATTATTGGGATCTTGTACCTTTACATGACAGGTCTTGGTTCTCGTTTTTTTCCCCTTGTCTGTGCCCTCCCTTCACCCCCTCCTCCCCTCCCCATTTACAAACACTTTATTTCCGTTTTTTCATTTTGTCATATTTTTTTCTTTTTATAAACTTTCTTTTCTGCAGAGCCATTTACATGTAAGATGTGGAATTCATGACACGTCACCCCTGAGTACTTGAAAATAAGAGCAGTCTCTTACAGTGTCATAGTACCATTAGCATAATCAAGAAAATGAACCTTAATTCAGTATTATTATCTAATAGAAAAATCCACGATGGACATTTTTTAGTTACTCCAAAAATGGCCTTTAGTGTTCTTATTCTAGTAGAGGACTTCCACCCTTTTTGTTTTTCATGACTTTGAAGTTTTTAGTGTGTAAGCTAGTTTGCTTGTAGAAAATCTCTTGTTCTGGACTCATTTGGTTATTTCCTCATGATTAAATCCAAGTTAAATATTTTTTGGCAAAAATATTCTCTAGGTGATGTCACGAATGCATCATATCGAAAGGCGTTTCATACTCAGGGGTGTCACTGTATTAGTGATGCAGTTTGATCACTTGTCTCAGTGGTCGGTGTCTCAGAGTCTCAGTGACAAAACATAGTTATTACCGCTGTGGTTAATAGTTGATTAGTGACACTCAGTCATCTGATACCTCGAGGCCGTGTAAATACCCCGCTGACCAGCAGTCTGTCTGGGAGTATGTAGACTTTTGCCTGGCCCACTTTTTTTTTTTTTTTTTTTTTTTTTTTTTTTTTTTTTTTTTTTTTTTTTTTTGGTTTTTTGAGACAGGGTCTCACTGTATAGTTGAGACTGACCTGGAACTCACTATGTAGTCCATGCTGGTCTCGAACTCACAGCGATCCTCCTGCCTCAGCCTCCCAAGTGCTGGGATCAAAGGCGTGCGCCACAACGCCCGGCTTGCCTGGCCCACTTTTGATGCACACAGATAGGCGCATAGCTGCTGGAGCCTCTGCACAGAGAAATGGGTTTTGATGGCTTGTAATTTCTTAGTATTCTGCAGCTCTTCCTGTGTAATTGAATGTACTCTGGTGTTGAGTGGTGGCATGCTGTCCCATTGAATGGATCTGCCTTAATTTGTGGGGCAGTCCCCTGTCGTCAGACACAGAGATTGTTGTTTTTGGTTTTTTGGTTTTTGGTTTGTTGTTGCTCTGACTCCTTCCTCCTGCATGGTTTAGGGGAGGCTGTGGTGGGGGTTGCCTCCTTTTACTGTGTTGTAACCTACTGTGCTGGTCTGTAGCTCTCAGAGCGCCCTAGATTCTGCCCTGCTGAAAGGAGGGGTGAGTCAGGAGTGGAGGTGCCCTCACCTGCAGACTAGAGAGAGAGGGTGTGGGCTCTTAGGACAGAGGTCAGCCCTGACACAGCCTTAGTGGAAGGGAATGGCTTGCTGGTTGTTGGTATGCTCCTTTGGTAGGTGGCAAGATGGCTGTAAAACCTCTCCCAGGTTGGTACCTTCTTGGGCTTTCTCAGGAGGATATGTTCCAAAAGGCAATTGCAGTTTCTGAAGGAGAGCCAGTTACTTCTGGTTTTTGAGGCAGAATGTGAAGGATCCCCCTCTGTCCATCAGCCCTCACTGTTCCTGTGCTTCCCACTGACCAGTAATGAGAGCAGCGTGGGTAGACTGAGAAGTCAGGCAGCAAGACTGGGGTTTGTAAAGTGTGATAAATATTCAGGAAAGTGTGTGTATTTAATCATGTCATGTTAAAAATACTGAAATCTCAGCAGACTTAAGTTCTTTATTTGATATACATCAGGGCCTTCTCATTAAGAGTATTTTTCTGAAATTGTCAGTTATAGTTGGAAAATTATTCTTCCAGCAGCTTTATAATATTCTGATTATTAAATTTAAATTGTTTTAGTGGAAGGAAGCAAAACCGGAAGACCTTATGGATTCAAAACTTAGATGTGTGTTTGAATTGCCAGCAGAAAATGATAAACCTGTAAGTATGTTTATCGTTAGCAGTAATTGAATGTTGCAAGCTGATGCTTATTTGCATACCATCTCCTGGAAAAACCAAGATTTATGTTGGCAAATTACTTTCCTTCCTCTAATGTATGAGGAAAAAAATAAGCCGAAGTCATAATAAGTGGGCCTTTATGAAATCAGCCGTTGAAAGTTTTGTAGAAAGACAACTAATTGAAACACTTTTCCTCTTGAAAAGTGTAGCCCACTGGCTGTTGAGATGTCATAAATCCCCACGCACTGCTTTGGCTTGTCAGAGGTGTGGGTTAAGCAGTGGGTGAGAACAAAAGGGTGAATTCCTTGCCCTGCTTACTGGCCACGTGGTAAGCTCTTGGTTCCATTTCACAGAATGGGCCTGTCAGCCCTTTCCCTCAGCAGCACGGCTCCTTCCTCCTTTCTCCTCACCTACCTCTGCAGTAAAAAAAAACTTACAGATGAGGATTTCAAAGCCTCAGCACTGTCAACATTTTGGGTTGGCTCATTCTTTGTGGTAAGGCCTCCCATGCATTTCGGGGTGCTGAGCGGCACTGCTGCCCTCTGTCTGTTAGACACCAGTAGCACTCTTAGTTGTAACAGCCACTCATGCCTCTGGACAAGCCCACGTGTGCCCTGCCCTGCGAGAAAAGGAGCACCTCTCTCCCTCTGACCTCTCATTTTCCCTTGTTGTGAAACAAGAGGTGAGCTGGCTAGTGCCTTTGCTGTGACCAGTTGAAGAGAAGAACTGTGAAATGCTAATCTAGACCTCTCTTCAATCTACTCAAAAAGATTCAAATTATATTTAAAATAAGGAATTTAAAAACCCATGAAGAATCTGAAACTGCCCTGGCCATTAGTAGATGGAGTTGGGAAATGGAAATGTTCTTGAGAATTCTGTTAACATCAGTGATCTCTGGGATATGGATTTGTCAAAACTATGTAATATTTTCTTCGAATTGACCACTGTCATTATCTTGTTTCTTTAGATGAACAGTTGTGTCTCTCCTCCCCACCCTCAGTTTTCTCATTGTATATTTTGCCATGGGAAAGTCAGTTTGAAGTGAAAGACCTGAATTCCAGTCTCAGCTCTATGAGAGGTGGACCTGGTAGCCTGGGGCCTTGCCTCCTAGAGCTTCTCTCTGGGAAGTGAAGGGTAGAGCTACATTTCTGACTGCTCCCCAGATTCTCAGGTATTTTCCCCCAGCACCTGAGCACTTCCGTGCCCTGTTCCAACTGGCTGTCTTCAGTGCCCACAGGGTGTCCCTAGCAAAGTCTCTGCAGGGCCTGGGATGTGTGTGGCCTCCAGCCTGAAGCGCAGCAGACTCAGCCCTGCCTCCTAGCTCTAAGCCGGTGAGATAAATGACCCCATGAGTGTCCTCCCTGGCCTCCCACACAGCAGCCAGATCTTCACAGTGACAGTAACATGGCTGGCTATGGGACAATAACATGGCTATGGTATACTGATTTTTGCATGGCAGGAATTTGTTAGTGCAATACGCACAGCCCCTTTTCTTTTCCTTTGAAGTGTTAGTCAGAGCCCAACTTCATTATTTGTTCTTATTCATAATTTCTAGGGCCCAGATGCTTTATTTAGATTATTAGATACCAGATGAAGAGATTGATTTTTAAAATAAACGTGACATTTTACAGTGGGGGAAACGTTACCATGCGTGGTGTTTGATGAGAAGTACTTTGCGTTAAAAATTATTTTTTTACATGGTTGATGATAATTGAGCTTTCATTTATTTCTGAACAGCATGATGTAGAAATAAATAAAATTATATCTACGACTGCATCAAAAGCAGAAACACCATCAGTGTCTAAATCTCTGACTTCACCTCTGGATGACACTGAAGTTAGGAAGGTGATGGAAGAGTGTAAGCGGCTGCAAGGTGAAGTCCAGAGGCTTCGGGAGGAGAACAGGCAGTTTAAGGTAATAATTGCTTGCTTTCCCATCCACAAAAATGACCATTCTCACTGGGATCTTTGGTAGGAAAGTTGGCGAACCCCTGAATTTGAAGGTTTTTTTGTTTGTTTGTTTTGCTGTATGGTTATTTTTCCTTTCCTGGGGAGAAATTCTATAGCTTTTGTCAGATTCTCAGAAAGGTTCTTGAACCACCCCACCCCACCCCCATTAAGAACCAGTGTTGCTTGGGGAGAAATTTCTCAACTGTGGAAATACTTATCCTTTTAAAAACAAGAACATCCCCCCCTCCAATCACAACACTTGCATCTCCATTAGTGTAAAAAAAACAGCAGTGGTTATTTTGAATGTGCATTTTCAAACCCCACTCTGTCTCCTTCACTTGGATGGAAGTGTCTGTACGAGGCTAAATTTTGACTGGTGCTCTCTTCTAACATTGGTGTCAGACTAAGGCCTGAAGCACAGGGTTCTTAGAACTGCTAATGTGGTAGTGAGGTTAGAAAGGCAACCCTCGCTGGTGGAGGGAGGTAGAGTGTAGGAGAGGAAGCCTGAGTGTCTGTTTGCAGAGGAGGAGCTGGCATAGGGGGGCAGCTTGCAGTGGATGCTGAGGGGAGCAGGCGATGCTTCTTGAGCTCAGAGACCTGCAGTGGAAGCAGTGGCTGTGGTCCACAAGTTTAAAGTAGCTCTCGTACGTATGAATCCATTTCAGACATGATATCCATGAGACTATTTCTGAACATTTGGTCGCGGAAGTTTTTGTTGCAGCTTAATTTGAGGCCTGTCTGTCGTGTTAATCTTGATCGTGTCTTGGGTGTCTGCCGTTTAACTGCCACAACACCAGGTCCTCATCACACATTCCCTTAAGTCAGCTTCTTCTCTCATGGTGACGCTTAGATGGGGATAGGAAGGCTGGCAGTTTGTAAACAACCTCATTGCCTTCCTTTGTAACTTTCCTCCTTCAGCTCCTCCTTTTTATACAGGATAAATACGAAGCTCATACTTTATTTTTGACTAACATTCTGAGATATGCCTAAACATTCTCTTTGAGTTTCTCTTCAGAAATAGAATTCTGTGTGTTTAAAGTGCTAAATAGGTAGAAATGGCTTCTTTATAATCCCACTAGAATAAATACTGTATTTTGCTGTGCCTGTTTTTGAAGTTAATCAAACAGTGCCAGTCATTTATCACTGCAATATCACTGCATAAACAAAATATCTCTAAAATATTATCAGACTCGTCTTGACGCTAGACGATTCTTTATCCTGTCAAATACTGGTTGGTGCATTCTTTCATTTGGCCAACCCATTTAGTGAGTCTGCTAAGTGCTGGTACTGTAGATTCAAATGTGAACAGTGCATGCACCTGAGGAGCTAGCTCCCCATGGATGTGGCTTCAGGGAGAGAGAGACAGACATGATTATAGTCCATATGATGGTGGTTTTATTTTGGATAGGTAAGTTAATTAGATATCTTGTAGGCAACAGTTAGACAGGGCTGCCTTCCAGGAGCCAACATGGAGGATGATCAAGACACATTCACCGTGGCCCGAATTGTAAAAGGAGAGAAACTACTATACCCTTGTGCTTCCCCTGGTGATAAATAGCAGTGATTGATAGTCTAAATAGGTATCAGTCACTTGGGTCGGGGGTCATGGCCTTAGCCCAGTGTTTCCAGGAAATGTCCCTGACCCCCACCCTTACTGGAGATCCTTGTAGCTTGCTGTGTGACTTGCTCCCCAATTTGATTGCCATTTGATCGGTATTACCCGAGTGACTGTTCTTACAATCCTATTGGTTGGTCGTGGTTTTGCCCCACCTCATGTCCCCCTTAAATTTCCATTATGTCTTACAGTTTTTGTCCGATCTTGTACATGGCATTGCTGTATAAAACATCTCTGAGAAGTGGGGTGAAGGGGCCACCTACTTTCTCATCCCCCTTCTGTCTCTCTTAGAAGCTTTCTTTTTTTGTTGTTGTTTTTTTTTGAGACAGGGTCTCACTATGTTCAGACTCACTGAACACAGAACTCACTGTGTAGCCCAGGCTGGTCTTGAACTTATAGCAATCCTTCTGCCTTAGCCTTGGAGGTGCTGGGATTACAGGCGTGCACCCCCATGCCCGGCAGAAGCTTTCTTTCTCTCAATAATTTTTACCTACTGTTTACCTCCATTGTTCCTAGAATTCATTCTTCAATTTTAGAGAACACAAACTCATGTTTTGGCGATCTCGTAGGTTTAGGAGTTACATCGCTTTCCCCAGTATCAGTTTCACAGAATTGGTAGATGGCAGGGAAGGTCCACACTGTGGCTCATCCCCTGTGGGCTCCAGGAGTGCCCAGGTACTTGGTGAATGTGAGAGAAGTGAAGGAAAAGAACTGAAAGTGCCACTGGTGTATGAGACTCAGGGTTGAGCAGTTGGAGTAATTAGCAAGAGATCTGGCTGCAGAGAGGAGCCTGGGCAAATCAGAAGGACCTTCAGACTGGCCCTGTGTGGGGATGTGAGTGTGGTCTGGAGGTCATGGGCTGTGGTCTCGGGTCTGCAGAGTAACTTACAGAGTCTTCAGGCAGTACTCACTTCAGCAGCAAAAAGTGTCTGTTCCTCACCCATCCTTGTGGCTGTCAGGGAAGATGTGTGTAGGTATCTTTATGAAAAAATAATGGTGCTTCTCCATACATTAAGTAGTAGAAAATAGTTGGAGTGAGTGAATGAAGGTCATATTTAATGCCATTTGGTCCAGCATTCTGCATGTAACTTATCAAGTACCCGTTACATACAGAACTCTATATTTCAAAACTTCCAGGTCCCTCACTTTGTAGTTTCTTGTGATTTGTACTTGTGTGTTTTAGGAATTACCTATGACTTTAAAAGTCAGCCATGATTTAACTAGGGAAGCCTGTTTCTTTGAAGCAGGAAGGATAGAAGATTGGGGTTGGGTACAGGCTAGGAAGGTGTGTGCAGGTGAAGTTGCAAAGAGCCTGGTTGAACTCTGAAGAGCTTTTTCCTGTAAATGATGGGTAACCAAGACGGACCCTGCTTAGGGTTCTGTTATGAGGTGGTAGCTAGCAGCGCCAGGTTGGGACAGATGAAAGAAGAGAGCGGCCTCGCTGTGTCTCAGTGGCCTCAGGTAGGTCCTTTCTCTCTCCAGGACTCTGTCAGTTGCTCCCTTTGCAGAACGCAGTAGGATCATGTCATTGTAGTAGGACCGTGTCATTGTATGCCTCATTGTGAATCACACATTTGCTCCCATAGGAAGAAGACGGGCTTCGGATGAGGAAGGCAGTGCAGAGCCACAGCCCCATTGCAGCACTTGCTGCACCCGGGAAGGAGGAAGGCCTCAGCACTCGGCTACTGGCTCTGGTGGTTTTGTTCTTTATTGTTGGTGTCATTATAGGGAAGATTGCCTTGTAAAGGCAGCATGCAAAGGATGGCAGATTGGATTGATGGATGCACCATATCATGGGATTTCAATTTATCATAACCATGTGTAAAAAGAAATTAACGTATGATGACATCTCACAGGTCTTGCCTTTAAATTCCCCCTCCCCCTGCGTGCGCGCACACACAAATGTACACACAAATATAATATAACAATCTTTTAGAAAGTTAAAAATGTATAGTCAGTGATTAAGGGGAAATGAATGATCTCTGTCAATGATAAGGGGAACCGCGATTAATGCCACAAAGGGCGTATTGTAACTGTCATTGGAACATCGATAGGCCTTGGTACACGTCTCTGGATTACCTCTTTTAAAACAAGACATTTCCTTGCCTGTGGGAGCTGGAGCCCAGTGTGACGGGGTGTGCAGCCTGTGTGCACAGTCCCCATGCTGCCCACTCCCACCCAGACTGCTCTTCCTGTCTTCAGTTCTGTCCGAGCTGTCTGTTCCTTGGGACTGATGAAGAGCAGCAAAAGTGGAAAAGCATTGTGCTGGCGCAGCGCCAGGCGTGCCTTTCTGGGTGAGAGGCACAGGTCCACTGAGCCGGCGCTTTGGAAATCCAACTCGTGCTTTCTTCTCCTAGAGGGACCAAGCTGAAATACCTTTGGTTCATGTAGTGAGACTGAAATGCTATTTGAGATGTTTAATGCATATTTAACTTATTCAGTGTATTTCATCTCATGTGTTCTTACTGTCAGGAGAGTACAGTTAATGCTGCGGCCTACACATCACCTGTGCTGTGTAACAACAGTGGGTGGGGCTGGATGGCTGCTGGGGGCTGGTGCTCTGCCTCTGGTGGTTCTGGGCACGAGGATGGTTATCTAGGTGTCGGAGAACAGCTGTCAGAAGTGCTTGGGTGTCAGGAGCAGCTGTCCTGGGGAGGAAATTGTTAGCAGTGACAGTCAACGCTGGACACCTGTTGTGATGGAGAGCAGCTGGTCTTCCAGGTTTGTCCACCCCTTGCAGCCCTCATTCACGGTTCCCTCACACCAGCCTTGGCCTGTCCTGCCTGTGGGGCCTGGCCTGGAGTCAGGGAAGGTGAGTGGGGTACAGAGCACGAGGGCACTAGTGGCAGGGTGCGGTGGGGCTCCTCAGTTAGTCCATCTAATGGTAATGGAGAGTCTGACTGTGAATTAATTTTATGCCATAAAAGACCAATCCAATTCTGTTCAACTATGTAGCATCTTAAAAAGAAAAAAAAAAATAAAACCCCGAAATTAAGAATTATTTTGTCATTTTGTCACATTTGCTGTGTGGGGGAATTACTGTATCATCATTATTTTGCCATTGGAACCTTGACTTTAAAATGAGCTCCGTCAGTGAGAAATGTTTAATGGCTTAACTATATACACATGCATACATATATGTGTGTATGTATGTTTTTGGTTGCCTTCAAATGACAGTATAACAAATAAAACCGCTGAAATCTTGGTGCCTGTTGCCCTTGCCCTTCCCCTCCCTGCTTCAGAGAAAATGCACCCCCATTGTGGTTGGGAGCTGTGCTGGAGACCCCGTAAATGGGTGTGGGCATGCCCTCAGTGAACAGGCTCAGCAAGAGGAAGACCATTCTTGGAAGTCACATGCCTTGAGCCACACTGCTCTCCAGCCTGGCTCTTGGTGAGCAGGGCCTAGGACCCTGAGACTGGCATGGTCAGGGCTGTGGCTGGTCTGAGTAAGGAGCTAGAAACCCCGGGCTCTTAAAGGAAATGTCAAGCAGGCCTGGTTTTCACCAAGCACTCACTGCTTGGATACAGTTGGGCATGTAGATGGGGAAGGCCACCCTGTTATCTGTTAGACCCTGAGGTCTTTTCCTTGTGACCGGGTGAGTGAGTTGGGAAGCACCTGCCTTGTGTCACTTAATTTCCAGTTCATGAACTAAAAGTTGCTGATTGAAGGTGCTGCAGCACATCAGTCTTCTTACAGCTTTCACCCCCTGGTGGGTTTGAGAGGAGAGTGATTCTGAGGGCCCCAAACAGTACCTGGGGAGCAGAACAGCCCATGCAGAGGTCTGCAAATTTGTTCTAAAATACACGGCTGTGTTCCAGTAAAACACTGTTCATAAGGACAGTCAGCTGGTGGGTTCAGCGTGCCTAGGAGGCTTCTGTCATTTGGGTCTTGGAAGGTGACTCTGTGTTTTGTGTACCGTTAAGGTAAGAGTACTCAGCTTCTCAGAGGATGCAGAGATTTTGTTTGCAGCAAAAAAACAAAACAAAACAAAAACCTCTTAAAATGCAAAGTTGTCAAAAACAAAGCAGAAATTGTCTGTTCCCTCAGCTGCCTGTTTCCCTTGTAGAGGTTAGAACCTGCTGAACATGTGTTAGTTTAAGAGGGAGAGAAGCAGGGTTGTGGTGGAAAGTGGGTTCTTCCCAGTCATCCTGGTCAACAGAGAATGTGGCAGTGGAGAGGCTGTGTAGCCAGGGCTGCTCACTTCAGGGATGGGTGAGGCCCCAAGTTCTCCAGAGAACGTGGAGACGTGTGGTAACATTATGAGTGTCTTTCCCCCCGAATGACCGAAGGGGGAAACCTGAGAGGCAGAGAGGAGGCAATGGGCTCTCACAGAGTCCTCTTCTGCCCAGAGAGGGAAAGGGCAGGCTGAACTCCGGTGAGTGCTGGCCAGGGAGCACTGGTCCTGCAGCAGCTCTGCTGGGTTCCTTGGGTTTAGAAACCCCAGGCATTGTGCTTGCGGGGCAGGTGGAAGCAGCATCAGAGCCTTGTAAATTTTTATTGATTGAATTTTTAAATTGATAGTCTAAACTCTCTTGGCACGATACAGAATGCCTTTTAAAGACAGCAGGCCGCATTATTTGTAGGTGTGAGGACCTGGCTTTAATTTTTTTCTCTTCTTAGTTTGCATGTTTTTTCTCTCTAGTCTTTTAAACCACTGGCACTAGCAGTAATAAATATTGATAAAATCAAAATGATTTTTACCAGTGGACAGTTTATGCCTAGAGAGACGGCTTATACCTACATAACACAGAAGGGGGAAAATGAAGAAGCTCCAGTGATCCGTGAAAACCTAAACGCTTTCAAACAAGTCCTAGGAGCAGAATTGCTATCGAAAGATATCAGTGCCCAGCTTGCAGGCTGTGTTGAGTCAGATAGAGCTGAATGTAGTGAGAGTTGAGCGCTAAATAGCCCTTCAAATTAATTTGAAAACAAGCTGTGTGTGTGTGTGGCATATGTACCATGTGTAAGTAGCTTAACAGTTTTCAAATGGTGTCTATATTTTTGCACACAAATCTGTCTTTGCAAACTCACAATCCATGCCAAAATACAGTACCATTTGTCATTTTCAGCTCTTTCTCAAAAGAACTGGCCCATGTACAAATTTCTGGTTATGGTTTATGAAACCTTCAGTTTAAAAGAAGAAAAAATTATCAAGAAATAAGGGCCTGGGCCGCCATGTCACCTCCCACATCTGAGTTACGGTTGGCTTCCCCACCGGAACAACCCCAGCTGGGCCCATCCCTCCCTCCTGCTGGGAAGACAGTGAAACAGGACATTGGGATTAGTTGAAGGTACTTATCAGAGGAAAGTGATTTTTTTTTTTTTTTTTTTTTTTTTT